CGTTGGATCCCAAATTTGAGCACATCGTCGTGACGATTGAAGAAACTAAAGACTTGGAAGAAATGAAGATCGAACAGCTCCAAGGATCATTGCAAGCATACGAAGAGAAGCATAAAAAGAAGCATGAGTTTACTGAGCAACTCCTCAAGCTGCAACTCAAGGATATGCATGAGAGCCAACGCAATGATAGAAACCAACGTGGCCAAGGAAGAGGTAGAGGCCATGGACGAGGTGGAAGTCGAGGTCGTGGACGAGGCTGGAATTACAACAATAACAATTCCAACAACAACTATGAGAAAGGAGAAAGCTCAACACGAGGCCGTGGAAGAATTATCCAAACTCAAAGTATGACAAATCTCAAATTCGATGTTATAATTGTCAAAAATTTGGGCATTATGCTTCAGAATGTAGAGCTCCCAACAACAAAATTGAGGAGAAGGCCAATTACGTGGAGGAAAAGACAGATGGCAAAGAAACTCTTCTTCTAGCACGAAAGGAAACTGATGGTGGCCAAGCAAATTCCTGGTATCTTGACAGTGGTGCAAGCAATCACATGTGTGGAAGGAAAGACATGTTTGTGGAGCTAGACGAGTCAGTAAGTGGAAATGTTTCGTTTGGAGATGATCCACAATAGCAGTGAAAGGGAGAGGTAACATTCTTATCCGTTTGAAAGATGGGAGACATCAATTTATTTCAAATGTCTACTATGTGCCCAATATGAAAAGTAACATTTTAAGTTTAGGGCAACTGGTAGAGAAAGGTTATGATATTCATATGAATAATTATAATCTTTCTATAAAAGATGATAAGAATAACTTCATTGCTAAAGTGCCGATGTCAAAGAATAGAATGTTCTTGATCAACATACAAAATGATGTTGCAAAGTGCCTGAAAGCTTGCTACAAAGATGCATCATGGCTTTGGCATCTTCGATTTGGGCATCTCAATTTTGGAGGTCTAGAGCTATTATCTAAGAAGGAGATGGTGAAAGGACTACCTCACATCAACCATCCTGACCAACTCTGTGAAGGGTGTCTAGTCGGGAAACAATTCAGGAAAAGCTTTCCAAAGGAGTCAGAGACAAGAGCTAAGAAGCCACTTGAGCTCATCCATACCGATGTGTGTGGACCGATCAAGCCAAGTTCTCTCGGTAAAATAACTATTTTCTTCTCTTCATTGATGATTTTTCAAGAAAAACCTGGGTATATTTCTTGAAACAGAAGTCAGAAGTTTTTGAAGTATTCAAGAAGTTCAAAGCAGCAGTGGAGAGAGAAAGCGGTAGAAAGATCAAAGCCATGAGATCCGATCGAGGTGGAGAATTTACTTCCAGGGAGTTTCAAGAGTTCTGTGAAGCAAATGGAATTCGTCGACCAATGACAGTTCCTAGATCCCCCCAGCAAAATGGTGTGGCAGAAAGAAAGAATAGAACAATCCTCGACATGGCACGAAGCATGCTCAAAAGCAAGAAACTACCCAAAGAATTTTGGGCGGAAGCAGTATCGTGTGCAGTCTACTTGTCAAATCGATCTCCAACAAGAAGTGTATGGGGAAAGACACCGCAAGAGGCATGGAGTGGAAGAAAGCCTGGCATTTCCCAACTTGAGAACCTTTGGAAGTATAGCCCATGTTCACGTACCAGACGAGAGAAGAACGAAGCTTGATGATAAAAGCGAGAGTTTTATCTTCATCGGCTATGATGCTAATTCGAAGGGCTACAAGTTGTACAATCCAGACAATAAGAAGTTTGTGATTAGTCGAGATGTGGTCTTCAACGAAGAAGGAGAATGGGATTTTAACTCCCATACAGATGACTTCAATTTCTTTCCTCAGTTTGAAGAAGATGAGCAGACAATGAGGGAGCAACTAGATGAATCTCAACAAGAGCTTGCAACTCCACCCACTTCACCAACATCAACCACTCAAGGAGACTCATCACCTTCATCATCGTCAAGTGGGAGTCAAAGTGAAAGAGTTGTGCAACGCACAAGAAGCCTTAGAGATCTCTATGAGGTAACTGAACGACAAGATAATCTTACATTATTTTGTTTGTTTGTCGATTGTGAACCAGTGAGCTTTCAAGAAGCGGTACAAGAAAAGAAATAGAGAGATGCGATGGATGAAGAAATCAAGGCCATCGAGAAGAATGACACATGGAACTTACCTCACTTCCCAAGGGACATAAGGCGATAGGTGTCAAATGGGTGTACAAAACAAAGCAAAACGCCAAAGGAGAGATGAAAGGCACAAGGCGAGGCTAGTTGCTAAAGGCTATAGTCAAAAGGCTGGAATTGACTATGATGAGGTATTGCTCCTGTTGCTCGATTGGAGACTATCAGACTAATCATTTCTTTGGCAGCTCAAAACAAGTGGAAGATACAACAGATGGATGTAAAGTCCGCCTTCCTAAATGGAGTTCTTGAAGAGGAACTTTACATTCAGCAACATCAGGCTATGAAGTCAAAGGGCATGAAGACAAGGTGTTGAAGTTGAAGAAGGCTCTTTACGGGCTAAAACAAGCACCAAGGGCATGGAATAGCCGAATCGACAAGTACTTCCAAGAGAATGGCTTCAACAAATGTCCCTACGAGCATGCTCTATATATCAAGATCAAAGATGAAGATATTTTGATCGTGTGCCTCTACGTGGACGATTTGATCTTCACTGGAAGCAACCCAAGCATGTTTAATGAATTCAAGGATGTGATGATGAAAGAATTCGAGATGACAGACATGGGGCTCATGGCGTATACTTGGCATTGAAGTTAAGCAACAAAATGATGGAATTTTCATTTCACAGGAAAGCTATGCAAAGGAGATACTGAAGAAGTTCAAGATGGAGAACTGTAAGCCAATAAGCACACCGGCAGAATACGGGATCAAGATGACCAAACATGAAGAAGGAGAAAGTGTAGATCCAACATTCTTCAAAAGTTGGTAGGAAGTTACGCTATCTAACTTGCACGAGACCCGATATTCTTCACGCAGTTGGATTGGTTAGTCGCTACATGGAATCCCCAACAACCACCCATTTTAAAGCCGCAAAGAGAATTCTTCGCTATCTGAAAGGTACAATTGACTTTGGCTTGTTCTATTCAGTTCTAATGATTACAAGCTTGTTGGATATAGCGACAGTGATTGGGGTGGAGACATAGATAATCGAAGGAGCACTACTGGATTCGTATTTTTCATGGGAGATATTGCATTCACATGGATGTCAAAGAAACAACCGATTGTCACATATCCACTTGTGAAGCGGAATATGTTGCTGCTACCTCATGTGTTTGTCATGCAATTTGGCTTAGAAATCTATTGAAGGAGATTGGTTTGATACAAGAAGAGCCTACCAAGGTTTGTGTCGACAACAAGTCAGCCATTGCCTTAGCGAAGAATCCAGTATTCCATGATCGAAGCAAGCACATTGATATTCGCTACCACTATATAAGGGAGTGTGTTGAAAGAAAAGATGTGGAAGTTGAATATGTGAAGTCACAAGATCAAGTTGCTGATATTTTTACCAAGCCACTGACCAGCGAAGACTTCTTAAGATTAAGGAACCTACTAGGGGTCACGAGATCAAGTTTAAGGGAGGGTGTTGGATCATAAACTTGATCCATTATGGGAGCCTAAACCCAAACCCAAACTAAATTGATGTCATTACTTACATCATTTAATTAAAGATGTCATTGCTTACATCATTTAATTAATGATGTCATTGCTTACATCAATTTAGTTAGGTGAGAGTTAGATATTTGTTGATTTTGTAATGGTTTAAATTAGTTTATTTGTGTGGTGTAGGATTGTTCTTGAGTAGTATAAATACCCCTTCCCATTTTAGTTTTAAGCATCAAGAAAAATTAAGAGCTTCTAAGTGAGTGAAGAAGCAAAGTCTTATAAGAGTGAGTTGTAGTTCTTGTTTTTGAGTGAGAGTACTCTTGTAATATTTGTTTGAGTTTCAATAAAAGTTGTTTGTGTGAGTGTTTTATTTCCAACAGATCAATGCATCGAAACAAAAGCTGCCGTCCCACCATGATGAAAATGGAGCTAGTTCTTCAATGAAACAATCCCTTCTTCATTCCCTTGATTTCATGGAGTTGCAGAAAAGAAAAATCAAGCTGCTTTCAATGCTGGAAGAGGTAGACGTAACTGCTCGAACGAGGACCTCTCCCTCAACTACTGAAATCGCTTAATGAGTTCGACAAAATTTCAGCTTTGATTCTCATTCCTCTTGTTCGCATGTGTAGTGGATAGAAGATACAAGTACTATTGCGATCAAATGAAAGAGGTGGCGTCTTCGTTTGAAGTAGTGGCCGGCATTGGGGCAGCATCGTTATTCAGCTTTGGCGTCCAAGGCGATGTCAAGGCATTTTAGATGCCTAAGGGATGGCATCGTCGGCCAATTCAAGCTACGCTCAAGGCCACCGGAGAAAAAGACCCGGTTGCGCCCGGACAACTAGAGGCGAAACACCGAGGCTAAGGATCCTCGATCAAACTTTAAGGCAGAAAGGGCTTTCCAGCAAATGAACATGATGGACTCTCATCCATGGAGACCCCAAAGAGGCCTGCCCGAAAGATCAGTCTCCGTTCTTCGAGCTTGGCTATTTGAGCATTTTCTACACCCGTAAACCCTCCCCCCTAAACCAAATCTCAAAGCTTTTTTTTTTTTTTTACATAAAATCAGGTATTCAGATCACAGTTGTGGTTGCATTGTGTTTATAACGATCACGATGATAATAGATGCTATTGCGATCATTGCGGGTATCGTGATTATGAAATAACGGTTTTAGACGGTACTTCTATCGTATATAACGGTGTTGTTATTCTAATAGCGGACCACTGTTTAAATCCATGCATGAAATATTCTTTGTTAGTAACTGTGGTTGAAAATTTTCAATATTTGCAGATACCCAAGCGATGTTGATAAACATATCTTGCCGCCAAACAGGTCTCTCAAGAACAGGTCTCTCAAGAAGCATCAGGCCTTGTCCACATAAAATAACATACACCAAAATCCTATACCATATAATATAATTTGATCATATGACGACTTTTGTTTTAACTTGTGTTCCAATAGGTATCCAATTGGTTCATCAATGCCAGAGTGAGACTGTGGAAGCCAATGGTGGAAGAGATGTATTTGGAAGAAACAAAGAGCATGACAACAACATGGTCTCACCTAATGGAGCCACTGATGTTAATCAAAACGATAAAAAACCGACCCCGGACCAGCTCGTTCGAGTGGAATCCGAATGTCTATCGTCTGTTATCTCAACGAATCTGGATAAAATCGATGCCAAGACCACCGAGAACCAGCACGGTTTGCATCATCATCATCAACAACAACATGATTTCTCGACTTATGGTGCCATGGATTTGGACATCTCTTCCTACAGTCATCAGACGGCAGCCGGTGGCGTGTCGTTGACGTTAGGGTTACAACAGCATGGTGGGAACGGGTGAGCTTAGCTTTCACCGTTTGCATCATCATCATCAACAACAACATGATTTCTCGACTTATGGTGCCATGATTTGGACATCTCTTCCTACAGTCATCAGACGGCAGCCGTGGCGTGTCGTTGACGTTAGGTTACAACAGCATGGTGGGAACGGGGTGAGCTTAGCTTCACACACCATCACAAAGATCCTTGTTTTACCCTAGAGACCAAATGGAAGATTGTCAACCAGTTCAGTACTCAGTTTCAGACGGTGAAGGACAGCATTTGCCTTACAGGAACTTGATGGGTGCACAGCTGCTTCATGATTTGGCTGGATAGAAACCGAATAGAAAAATGGATTCATCAAAGGATGCAAATGATATATATATAAACCTTAGGTAGCACAAATAAAATCAGGAATTTAATTGCAGTTGCGGTCGTGTTCCCGATTACATTTATCGTGATTGCGGACATAGTGAGATTATTGCGGTTATTGCAGTACACGGTCATGCAATAACGGTTTCAGAAAACACCAATACTGAAGTATAACACCGCTATTCCGATAATAACAAACCGCTATTCAGAAAACACCACTATTTACACCAATACTGTAAAGCTACACTTGTTATTTTACATATGTACTGGAAGAACAATGTTTATTTACTGCAAAGTTGATTATACATATATATATATATATACACGTTTGTTAGGTCTCCCCTATCTTTCAATATTTCAATGCCTAGGATAAGTGATTGGAATGTTTGTGGTTCTTGTTTGAGTTGAACTTCAGAATTCAAAATTTTTAAATTTTCTTCACAATTTGGTTGGAGACCTTAGTTTTGGAAATTAATTAGGGCAGTCCTACAGTAGGAATTATGGGAATATAGTGATAGTCTGAATTGCCATGTGGTCCCTAATTCATCTTCATGAAGATGATATTTCATGTCCACAAGAATTGCCGGCTTTTTCTGTATGTAATTTTCTCAAATTTGAGCATGGTTTATGCTGTTGCATTTTTTTTCTTTTTAGTTTTCCTCTCGGTTCCAAAGTCTTTCATTGACTAATCCGGATAGACCCGAGTCGAACACTTAGTTTTGGTGGGTGAATCTTCCAACAGAGATTTTCTGCATACACAAAGACTCGAACTTGAAAATTTACTTAAGCGATATTGAATTGGTTACCCCTTAAACCAACCACTATTGATTATGCTGCTGCTTTTTTTGCCAATGAAAAAGATGCATTTATAACTCCATTTTCAAACTCCATCCTTCAACTGGCGTTTATACATTAGGAAACATGAAAAAGAAAATTTGAAAAATATTACAAATTTCAGAAAAAATATTTTATTGGGATTGTCAAACAAAAATAAAAGATATATTTTTCTCACAAATTTTAAATATAATATTAATTTTATTTAGAGGGAATAAGAGAGGCTCAAGAGAAATAAAGAACAGTGCTCTTAATAAATTTAGAATCTATGACTAAAACGAATACGAGAAAATAAAAATCAGCATTTTATGAAATTTCTTAGAAATTAATTATTAAATAAATAAACCCAAATTTCAAACCTACTTTTAGGAGTTGTCTACAATTCATAGCTATATATATATATAGACTTTAATGAAGAAGTAAATGCACACAAAACATTTCACCCTAATTTGTTTTCTTAGTATTAGCTTGAATATAATAGTCAAAAGTAATACAAAAGCATGGGAGATTAAAATCATCCATTGATGAAATAAATGCTCATTTAATTTGCTTCAAATAAAAGAAATGGTGTATCGAACGTAAGATTTTATGTTAGAATGAGAACTTATAAAATTTGAAAGAGATGTAGCTTATATAATTTTAGGAGTAGAAACAATTTTTTAAAAGAAATAAAATAAAATATCTAAAATATATATAAATTGAAATTTTAAGGAGAGTGACTGTCCTACCCGCCCCTGTCTAGATCCGTCATCGATGATATGTTTTGAAAATTTGATAAATTATAGGATTGATCGCTTTCATTTAAATTTTGTACATTTTTTCTCAGTGAATTCAAAAAATTACAATATTTGACTACTTTCATTTTTATTTAATTAAATTATGGTCACTGAAGATTAACAGTCGTTAGATTTTTAACGGATTATTGACATGATACAATAATATATAAAATTAAAAAAATAAATTACATAAATAGTAACTAATGTTTAAATAATTTTTCATTTTCATCGCTAAAATTTTAAAAGAAGCAAATTAATCACTAAAACATTAAATAAATCCTTAAACAATGATTTTCGACACACTGTATGTCACATTAATTTTCGGAAGGAAATAATCAAAGACAAAAAATAAGATAACATTTAAGGCCGTTCAATGCCTTTTCCTTACCAGTTACCATCTCGAACAACAGTCAAATTATTGATCTAAAGTTCAACAGTTATCTAGAAGAAACAACAAGCAAAAGGACCGCGATGATATTTTTTCTTAGCCCATGTATAATGTGGTTGAAAGGCACCTATAGAATCAGGGATTTAAACTTCAGATGTGTCCACATTTTCGGTCGTATTGTATTAATCGAGATTGCGGGTATAACAAATGTTATTGTAGTTATTGAGTGTATGTCTCGTAAATTTGTTTTTAACAAAAATCATGTATAGATTATATATTATATAATTTAAAAATAAATAACACCACTTTTAGAAATATTTTGACATCCTAAATCAGAAATGACATAATATTAAAATTAGTCCCCAACATTTATTCAAATAATTATTTTAGATCTTATTCTTTTTTTTAGATAAATTTGGTCATCAATGTTTTATTTTAGGGCAAAAAGACTTCTCTATGTATGAAAATAGTTAGTTAACAAACGGTTAACACTTTAAAAGAGCGATATTTTTTATCCTAAAATAAAATTTGAGGGCCAAAATGCTCTAGAAAAAAAAGAATAAGAACTAAAAGGAATATTCAATTAAACGTTATGGGACCTTTTGTCTTAAAATAAAACGTTGAGGGGCAAAATGCTGGAAAAAAATAGGGGACAATTACCATTTTAATAAACGTTGGAAGTTGATTTTGGTATTATGACAAAAGAAATTGATCCCAACTTTTATATATATATATATATATATATATATATATATATGATTTTATTTAAATATCATAATTTACAATTATGATGTTGTAATTTAAAATTTCTAACTCAGCTGGCCTTACCCTTACAATTCCTTAGAACCCACTCCACTAGTTCATGCCATATTTCAACTTGCCTATTCAAACAAAAAATTATTAGATAGACCTGACTCATCATGTTATATGTGCTCTCAACCAATAATATTTTTTTTCATTTCATTTTTTTAAGGTGAATCTTCACATCTTTCCTTCGTGTAAATAAGAAGTGAGTAGTTATTTGGAGGTTATTTTAAAATTAATGAATGTGATTCACTGGAACCATGGATGACGTACTGAATCGAGTCCATTAAATAATTTCTCCATTCAAACAATTAGCTTTCAAAACAAAACCCCAAACCTGCTTAGTGTAATCACAGTTAACAAACAAATGGTTATGGTCTTCTTCAACCCTTTATCTCACAGCACACACAAAGCCAAAACTGACTGTCACACCCGAAAATTTTGGGTTATTACTAATAATTTTAATTAGATTTTTATTTAATTAATTTTAAGGATCAGTTTGTGAGTTTTCAAAATTTAGGCCAGTTTTTAGATTGTCCTAAAAGTTTATGGACTCATTCCCGAATTTGACTATTGTTGGTCAACGAAGAAAATAAATATATAAAATAGGTGCCTGGCATAGTTTGAAACCGTGACTCATTGGAGAAAGGGGGCCATGCCCTATCTAACACCCTCAGACTGATGCGGGTGACCTGATCCGTTTCGAGATATCACATTAAGGTCATCAGAGCGATACATAATAAAAATCCAAGAAAATTTAAAATTTTTGTAAAAAGCGCCTAAAATCATAAAATAATTTATAAATATGTAAGTAGAATTTAACAATATTCAAGAATAAAATAGTTTCCATACTTTGATATAAAACCAAAATACAACCTACATGCCCCCTAATCACATGCACCGTACTCCGCAATCAACGCCGGTGGAATTACTTTCCTGATGTCGGTAGCTGCACTGGTACAATTCTTTTAACCTAAAATGGTGAGTAAAAGAGTGAGCTTTGGGAAGCTTAGTAATACAGAACTACCAAGTGATGCTGAAGGACATGCAGATAAAAGGAACATCATAAATTTTCCTTATTGACTCAGTCGTCTACAGGTTTTCGTATTGATCTAAGGTTCCACTGATATTTCATCGAGTAAAAGCCATGAAGGTTTCAGTTCATAGGAAACATTCAGAGTACCAAGTTTTCAGGAAATCGGAATAGGATGTCTAGTGTGTTCCAACTAAAAAACCAGTGAAAATGCTACAATCTTTTTAAAATAGTAACAATTAAAAACATATTTTTAAATCATATTAAAACCCTCCAACCGAACACCTTTATGCAGTTTCTCCATAACTGCATCCATAAGGACTTACCCTAAGCACAGAGCAAAAGACCCACTCTAAGGGAGTGCCTTGGGGCCTAAGAGCCTACCTAAGAAAGTTTCTCAGGGCCTCGGAGCCTACCCAAGGGCCACCTTAGGTCCGTAAAGAATTACCAGCTCGATCAGTTTGAACCTATATAACGAATTACCTGTTTGACTGAGCTGAACCTGCATATTTCAGCCTACCCATACAATACCTAGTAGAAATCAGATTAAGCAGCAACTTTAAATCAAAATAATGATCCAATAGTATATAGTAAAAATGATCATCTAGTTATTTAAATCACATAAAATTCCTCCACCCATACCCATATGCAGTCCCATGATTTACCTAAGGGAGTGCATTGGGGCCTCAAAGCCTACCCAAGAAAGTTTTCGGGGCCTCGGAGCCTACCAAAGATCACCTTAGGTCCGTAAAGAATCACCAGCTCGATCGGTCTGAACCTATATGAGTAATTACCAGTTTAACTGAGTTGAACCTCCATACTC